AACCTGTCTGTATTGACTCAATTCATTTCCATTTTCTTTAAAGTCAATCCCCTATTTGATTTTCATTGCAAAAGTTGAGGTTTTCGAGAGGAACATTTACCTCAACTTTGAGATTGAACCAATTTGACGTAATTTCCCTGAAATACAAATGAATATGATTGAAACTTCACTTTTACCCACGATTTTTTAGATGAAGTACTTGATTATACTCTTATCAATGGACCTAATAATAATTACTCCCCTCATTCATTCTTTTTGTAAATAAATTTCCTAGGAAAATCAAAATGCAAAGAAATGGTTAAGAAGTTTTTATCAAATATATTCGTACCCAATGTCGACAGCGAAATTTTTATAATCACCTTGCGTGCGGGAATTTTCGAAAGTTTGAAAAAAGGGTGTTATTAAAATTGTCTGGACTTCTGAGATTACAAGATACTCTTCAAAAACTATATAATACGCAAAAAAATAATGTGAATGTCCAGATTAAAAACATAACCTTGTCGCAAAAGTAAACATTGAATAAAAAACTGAATCTCAAGATGATAATTGACATTACCGTTGAACTAGCCAATCGCGATTTTAAACTGGTAAATTATAAGTTCCAAACTTTAGAATTAGCAGCACGACAAACGTAAACCAGAATTGTAGATTCATAAATTACTCATGCACATAGTCACCATGGATACACGGATACACGGCGAGTAAAATGCAATCGAAATTACGAGAATAAAAACGTAAAAATACATTTCAAAATGGAATCCGACAGCGAATTCACGTTCCTATTCTAAAAGGGACACGCTTGACACAATCGATTATCTCGAAAATCTCGAAATCATGAAGCCATGATTCCTTATTGGTCCGCCTAAAGTGGCGCGAGACTACAAAGTTGTAATTCTCTTATAGAAATCGTTTCATACCCGCGCGCAGGCGCGCGGTACACTCTCTCATGAACATAAAGTGAAACAGAAGCACTACGAATCGCCCCGTTAATTATGGAACGAACTTTGGTGTTAACATGGCGATGAGTGGGGAGGCGGGTAATTTTTACGGAATAGATCGTAGAATTAATGTGGCGATTCGTAGTGCTTTTGTTCTGATTCACTTTTTGTTCACGAGAGAGTGTACCGCGCGCCTGCGCACAGGTATGGAACGATTTCTATATAAGAGAATGACGAGTTTGTAATCTCGCGCCACTTTAGGTGGACCAATAAGGAATCATGGCTTCATGATTTCGAGATTTTCGAGATAATCGATTGTGTCAAGCGTGTCCCTTTTAGAATAGGATGATTTCGAGATTTTCGAGATAATCGATTGTTTCAAGCGTGTCCCTTTTAGAATAGGATGATTTCGAGATTTTTGAGATAATCGATTGTTTTAAGCGTGTCCCTTTTAGAATAGCACGAGATCTATTGCGCACTCCGTGCGCCGAATTTGAATTTTGACTTCGGATTCGAGTTGACCAATAGGGAATCAGTCTTACGAGTTTCGACTCAGACGAACTTCATTTATCTATCTTTGCTTTCATGATAAGGATATTAACACCAAAGCTCGTTCCATAATTTTTTCCCAACCAGTGAGAAATTTTACGGAATAGATTCCATTCCATTCTCTACTCAATAGAACATAGAAAGAACACGCAAATCGGTAAAAATTGTGTGGACGTTGATTATTTTTTTATTTTCCGGCGTACTAGATGAATTATCTTCTGAGATTTTACATTTTCGGGTGAAATTACAGGACATGAGTTTCATACCTTTTTCATTGATTGACATAAATTCCTTTAGGTTTCAGATTTTCTTTTTCGTTCCTATAAATCAGAAAACTATTACCGGAAAATTATTGCCTCTTTCTGATCACGCGAATTATATTGTTCCGTAATAATTACAGAATATATCAAGACACCCGCTGTCTCCATACCACAATCACGCAGTGAAGCAATTCCATTGAGTTCCCAGTTCCATTGTATGTGGACTGATTAAAGTCAACCCGCGACCCAGAAGCCACATCAAAAACCTTTTTCCCAGTAAAAGGATAATAGAATAAATGTGCCCTTGAGATGCCTACCTGCTCTAAAGCCTTTTTTTTCGCGAATAAATATAGACTCCCGCTGAAAACTTTTCCCACCGAACTAATATAATAATATATAGACGTTACACAATTAAACGGGAGTAGAACTTAACGAGTTGGCCAAACTCCGTACTAAAGTTGTAATAATCAGTTTGCACGTATTTCACTATTTATTAGTCGTGAAATTGAGTCTATTCCTTGCTGGTTAGAATCAGGGTGATGAGTGGTGAGGGGGAAAGGGGGTGGGGTGGTTAAAAGGATAAAATGAAAAACAAATAATTGAAGGTAATGACTTAGTTCTTGCAACTTAAATCAAAACGTAATGAAAGAAAACTCTCGTGCCGATAGAGTTTTGTAGTAAACGAATTCTCGAATCATCTCGTTACAGTCAATCTAGAAAATCTAGTTAGCGCTACACCGCTTTAGTCCTACAGGTATACAGTTTTTTTTTTAAACATTCCTGTTGTTGCCTCGTCTATCTTCTGGAGAGAACACTCTGCATCCACGTGAAAATGAAACTTATCATTTCATCTGCTCTCTCTTTCTCTCGCACTTGTGAAAAAAAACCCTCGGTTTGCATTTCTCTTTATGGAATTTTACCTCTGGGAGATTCATTATTACCGTTATTTATGATGATTCATAATTTTTTAATGCATTTCAGGAAAACTTTCGTATTGAAAATTTTCGGAAAGGGGAGGCGTATGAATAGCGATGACACTTTTTTGGAATACTCAATGGACCGGAAAATTTTAATGATTATTCATCCTACCGCAATGTCAGCTAATATAAAATTACATCATTCGACGTCACGTGGTACGACCGAGGGGATTTTCGATTAATAATTTTTTGATAATTTTATCTGGTAGTTGTTATTTTAAAAAAAAAACAATATCCACTACAGATACGCTAATCCAAGAGGAATTACTGCGCCGAGCACTAGAATCGTGATGCAAAATGCTAGGATACGAGAATTTCTCTGGTTCACAAATAAAAATTGCTATTAATATCGTAAATTTTCTAGTACACTCCATAATAAATCGTGTGTACCTCCATAAAATTTACGAAACATCACTATAAAATTTGAAGATCTATGATTTTTAATTCGCGTTTGAAGGAAAAATCGGTAGAAATCGTTCAGAAATGGCTATCCATATCGATATTTTTAACATCGCTCCGTTTTAATTTTTACTGTGTCTCCAGAACAATTTTTCCAAATATTTTGTACCCCAATATAATAGGTTGACGATGATCACCGAAATGTTTCGCATTCTTTACGAAATTGAACTTAAGAATGTACCTGTTGCAACGACTTTGAGTTTTAACTCGACCGATAAAGAAGTTTTCCTAGGCCGATGAAATTTTACTGGACGGTATAATAATTTTTGTTATTGTAATAATTTAAATTGTATAAAAATTCATAGATTTTTTTCTGCTTGCAGGAATCTAGAACCTCTGGGCACATTGACACTTTAAATTTAATTATAGATCTTTCATCTCTTAATTCACGCAGAGATTGTCAATTATTAATAATTATTCGTTCTTCAATATTGTTAAGGCATGATTAGTGCGTTAATTCATGAGATAATGAATGCCTTGTGTTGTTCTTGAAACCTTTAAATTAATTGAAATTCAGATGTGTTGTAGTGAGAAAACGCATACTGCATCGGGCCGGAGAAGTTAATGACTCTTCGTACTAAATTGTCTGGAGTGGATTAGATTCATTACATTTTCGAACAGAAACTGGAGCATAATTAATCACTCCATTCAGATCTTATAATCGTATGGAGCACCTGTTTGTTCAACTTAACACGTGCGCTCGTCTATTCATCAAATTATTCAACGTGTTTTTGCTGGATAAGAATGATGGCTAACTGCAGCGATACCTCAACGTTTTATATTTCATTTCCCCCCCTTGACAAATAACCAGGAAGAGGGTAATGTTTCTTTTGTTTCGAATCACTTTTTGGTACAACGCCAAGGGAAGCGCCTTCCCGTCTTTTCTTCGAGGGGAATAACTTCATGCACTCGGTTGAAAATATAAATCCAGTGTCTATGTGAGAATTTACTGGATTTTCTCATCTTTTTTTCAGCCGAAAAAAAATGGAGAAAATTCTTTTGAAATTGGGTGCAATGTCAATGACATATTTGCTAGTAGAATTTTTTGTTCACTTTATAGTTTCCTATTCATTTTGAATTTTCATTGACAAAATTTGAGACAATTTTTCCTATTTCTGAAAATATAATTTCAACTGTTCTCTCTTTTTTACTTAAGCCTTTGATGTAAAGTTTTTGGTAAATAAAATGAGAGGTGCACGTAAGCACAAGTTCATATAAAATTAGTCCGAGAGGAATCAAGTTCTATGCAAATAGCAGATGTGAAATTAATAGAAAATATTCATGATTAATTTGAGTCTTTCCTGCATTTCCGTAAAGATGAAAAAAATGAGAAGTTTGTCGGAGAATTGCGTGACTTATAAGAGAACTTTTCCCTAATTTTTCTCTCTGTGTATTCCATTCAATGCTATTCACTCTCTGCAACGAGATGTGCGAGGTGCTGAAAGATTAAAAAATTCTCTCTCCATGAATTTTTCTAAAACTCGTCGAGATCTGCGCCTACAAAGCTATGAATATATTATCTTTCAGCATGTCCTTTCCTCTAAATTCGTCCCGAAAATAGTGAAACTATATTAAAAACATATTTGAAAATGCGAAAATTCTCTGACATTTCACTAAAATGCATCATTTCGTTGGCGACACAGCCAAAAAGTGACGGAACAACGAGGAATGCCGGTGAAAACTTTGGCAACGTTGCAACTCTAATATCAAATCACTTGGGTGAACTGACCAACCTCATTAGACAGACATCTGCGACCACTCAAGCCACGGAAAATCATTTGTATTCATGACCTCAAATCACTGTTCCATTTACTCACGTATTATTGTCAGTTTGACCTTGAAGCTGCGGGTCGGTGAGTTTCTGAAGTCGACTCGACACCTGTACACGCCCTCGTCAGCTGGTTTGACATCTTGAATGAAAAGTTTAGCCGGCGGTCCAACCTGGAATGTAGTCCGACTTCCTGAAAATCTCGACTCGCTCCCGAGCCTAGCCTTTGCCGATTGACCATTCCTCGCATCGTAACTGGAAAATAAAATTAAAAACCATTCATCCAGTTTGATAATAATTATAATAACACTTATGAGGAAGTAGAAACAATCGTATAGCACTCTATAGATACCCCCCCCCC